CTGGCATGAAATCTTTGTACTTTTCCATCACCTCTTCTGTTGCTGCATGTAGCTCCAAGTTCGACTTCTCCTTCTCTGTTGCTGCCATCACTAGTAATAAGTAACCCGTCTCACCCTCGTTCACCATCTGTTTGAACCGTACAAGTGTTGTTTCAGAAACATCCCCTGTATCGGTCCAGCTTCTCAGCTCTACGTGTTTCCCACTGTTGTAGATGCACGCCTTCCGGTTGACCCAGTCGATCTCGGGGTTGAACCGCTTTCGAAAATTACACCCAAAAATGAAATCTAATTCCTTGATGTACCTGTTCGGCAACGTCGGCTTCCACCTTAACGCCCCTATCTGCAGCTGCAGTGTTGACTCGCCGTGGATGGAAACCTTCATACTGTCTACCATCGTTGCTGTAGATTGAGTCTCCTTTGATGACTCACCGATTTTCTCCAACGTCCCACAATTTTACACCGAGTGTGACGCACCACGGTCCACCAAGGCGGCATCGCCCATTGCAGAACAACTCGAGTACTAGTGGTTGTTGCCGCTCCGAGTAGATGGTATTGCTTAAAGGATCATATAGTAGATCAAATATATCATCCCTAGATCCTGCGCTCGAAGTTGTAGGGTTAGAAGGATTTATCAGAGGCTAGTACAACTTTCTCTTGAGCTTGGAACCTTCCCCTAAGCATTTGCAGCTGTATAGGCTTCACCTGTGGGGAACGGCGGGCAGCCTTAACACCGTGCTGCTAGGAGAGAATATAAATTCATCGGAACGCTCAACCCTTATCAACGCTCCGGAATGGTGTTTTCATATTACTTGGTATCGGATTTAATTCTGACTCTCCCTTAATATAGGCTTGAAAACCACAAGAAATAATATTCTTACTTGTCGGGGGTTTAAAGCTGGAGTTTCCCGGTCGGTACAGAGTCTTGTTTCGCGAAGTCTCCATTTGTCGCCGCGTTTTCCCCTGGTGCCGGCCGGTCGTGACGTTTTTGTTGGTGCAAGGGCTTAAGAAACTCAAGCTATTAAGACTCAATCAAACTTAAAACCTCTCCTCGGGATCACCTCCAAGGGTCCCTGGGTGCCTGGTACAAAACCAGCCCCTATCCTCGGGTTCGAGTTTGTAGAGAGAGGGATCAAGAGGGACTTAGTCAAAACAGCAAGAGTACCTTGAACGTTGCGCAGCATATCGTGCGGAACGTCGATTGGATTAAGCTGAAAATTCACTATATCGAAGCACTCTCCAACAGCTGTAAAATGAGCCAAGTTGCATCGCAAAAAGTTCTGCCATTACGAAGTTATGGCTCGGACAGCGTTTGACTAGCGTTGGAGTGTTAGCGTACTAGCGTTGACCCGGGTAGCATTCCGCCGTCGAACCGCGTAGAAACGAAATTCCAGCAAGGAAGGAATCCGCTTGAATCAATTGACTATATCCAGGTACAAACAGAGAAGGAATAAATAGTTCTAGCTAGCAAAGGGCCTTGGGAATCAAGCTGGGAACAACCAGGGATGATCTTAAACAACTCCAAGCAATAGAACTAACCAGCAAAATAGCAGGTGGTAGGTTGGTAAACAACATCGGGTTTTGTTTTTCCAACCTGGAAAAACAACAGCTAGGTTCAGGTCCTAAAAACAGAACCCGTTTTCTCTTTACCCAACCAGCCAAATTCTGGTTCCGCTGGTTTCTCCTGGTCCTGTAGCATGCAAACACAGACAAAGAACATCCAACCTTCACCTAAATTGTACCCCTATAGTGCTTGCCCTGCTACAATATTGTCAACCAAACAAGACAGTACCATTTAAACAGGATAGGACTGAATCTGTGCATTGAAATTAACCGAACTGTAAAGCTTCCATCTTGGGTTCCTTTGCGAGCTCGTCATTTCTGCTTGCACTGTTCATAGCGCGTACAATGTTGTGCCAAAGCGCACATTGCGCGAGTACCTGCAAATGCTTCAAGTGAAAATTGCGAAAGCAAACAAATACACGAACACACCATTCACACGCAAATGCATTCACACATTGATACTTGTACAAACGGACGCCAGGATGTCGTGCAAAGTGAATTTGCACCCAACAGTTTTTAATTCGTATCATTATATTCTCCTTTTTTTGCCCTCTCTGAAGTTGCCACGTTGTGCATTTTCTGCTTCGCGGGTGCTGGACTGTTCTTGCCCTTCAGCTCCGCACATGCATTCTTCATTTCCTAATTCGCCAAGATACAAAAATCTGTAGTGCTGCAAATTTGCATGTCTCATTTCTGCTAGCTGCTGCTTTGCATCGCCCTTGTCGTTCTTCTTCGGGTCAGCAATCATGGGTGGTGCCGATCGCTCCATGCCACTTTTTGGCTGGTTGCGTCGTTTTCCATAGTAGCTATTGTTCCACGTGTCAAACTGTTCGATCAGTGATGTCCGAAACTGCGCCTACGTCCCTTCCCCTTGGAGAATTATATTGCTAATCCACTCTAGAGCTGGGCTCGAAACAGTGTTGCTGCGAGCCGTATGCGCATTGCGTCTTTTGTCGGGGTCGTGCATCCAACGCCTTCGAAGTAAAATTCAAGTTCAGCTATAAATCAGGGTTTGTCGCTCCCTTTGACTGTAGGATCGAAGGTGTCTAGTTCTCTCGGCTTCGCTTGCTTTGGGTTTAACTATAGCTGCTACCGTTGTCGCAGATAAAACCGTCAGTGTCGTCGCCGTCGCTGCTGCTGCTTCTGCGGCTACCACTTGGTTTGCAATGAGTTTTTCGAGTTGTCAGAGCGCCGCACGTATTTGTTCATGCTCGGCTCGTAACTCCGCAATTTTTCCTATCAAATATTCTCTACTTCCCTCCATGTGGCAATTTACAGGAAGTTGTGCAACATAAAATATAGGATTCTAGGTGCTGGCCGACTTACTGCGAGTCAGATTGACTGTTAAGTCGACGAGCGCGAATTTCGCACGTCGCGCAATTTTCCCTTAGTCGAAGTTCGTGTCCAATCTCAGCCGTTGAGGAGAAACTGGATCCAACTTTTTTGGGTAAAATTCTCTGGGCCGCTGAGGTTCGAATCGATCTGACGGTCGAAATTTCATTTTCTTTTTCTTTTTTGCCAATAATCATGAAGGGTGTCCCAAAACCGGATCGAGGGGTCTTAGAAAAAATGCGCAGACATACCTGTATCGACGCTTTCATCATCGCCGCCGCGGTTTTTAAAGGCCAGTTTTAAGTGATGAAGACCTCACGTGTAAACCCGCTCTGATTGCGAAGTGTGAGGATCTAGTTCAAGCAAGGAAAATCCATCGAATGATTCACCTATGTACAACGTCGTGCTATATACATATGCATCACACAAGGCCAGTAACTTGGGTGTTACTAGAAGGTTCGACGGGTCGCGAAGCGTCCCAAATGGGTCCTTCTCGAATTCGGTAAAAGGCAATATGGTGGCAACAGAAAAGCCTAGAATCTGGTGCACTGAACCTGTTTCGGTGCCTATAACTATAATAACGTTCATAAAAGCAACAAACCTAGGAAATTAAGGAGATTCATGCAAGATAAAATAAAGAAAAGCTAGATAATGTGTAATAAAGCAGTATCAAGCATGTAATGCTTAACAAAACCGTCGTACTCTTACAAATAAGTAACAAAATTTCTTTCAATAGAAATCACATGTGTAAGTAACGTACTTACTCTTAGTACGAACTCCACAAACAAGTAACGCACTTAGTCCTAGTACGAACCAAATGGGCAAGTAATGCACTTACTCTTTGTACCAATGACATCGGTAACTAATGCACTTAGTCATAGCACCAACCTCATCAGTAAATAACGCACTTACTCTTAGTACAAAACATGTCGGAAAGTAACCCCTTTACTCTATTACCAACCATATGGGTAGTGTTGGTGTAAGGGCCTAATAAACTCAAGCTATTAGGACTTAATCAAACTTAAAACCTCTCCTCGGGGTCACCTCCAAGGGTCCCTGGGTGCCTGGTACAAGACCAGCCCCTATCCTCGGGTCCGAGTTTGTAGAGAGAGGGATCAAGAAGGACTTAGTCAAAACAGCAAGAGTACCTTGAACGTCGCGCAGCGTGCCGTGCAGACCGTCGGTCGGATTAAGCTGAGAATTCGCTATATCGAAGCTCGCTCCAAGAGCTTTAAAATGAGCCAGGTTGCCTCGCGAAAAGTTCTGCCATTACTAAGTTCTGGCTTGGACAGCGTTTGCCTAGCGTTGGAGTGCTAGCATACTAGCGTTGACTCGGGTAGCATTCCGCCGTCGAATAGCGCAGAAACGAAATTCCAGCGAGGAAGGAATTCGCTTGAATCAATTTTACTATATTCAGGTACAAACAGAGAAGGATTAAATAGTTCTAGCTAGCAAGGACCTTGGAAATCAACCTGGGAACAACCAGGGATGATCCCAAATAATTCCAAGCAATAGAACCAACCTGGCTGGACAAAATAGCAGGTGGTAGGTTGGTAAACAACCTCTGGTTCTGTTTTTCCAACCTGGGAAAAACAACAACCAGGTTCAGGTTCTAAAAACAGAACCTGTTTTGTCTTTGCCCAAGCAGCCAAATGCTGGTTCCGCTGGTTTCCCCTGGCCTTGTAGCATGCAGATACAGACAAACAACATCCAACCTTCACCTAAATTGTACCCCTATAGTGCCTTCCCTGCTACACTATAGTTAACCAACAAAAACAGTACAATTTCGAGTTGGATAGAACTGAATCTGCGCAATCAACTCAACCGAACTGCAAAGCTTCCATCTTGGGTTCCTTTGCGAGCTCGTCCTTTCTGCTTGCACTGTTCATAGCGCGTACAATGTTGTGCCGAAGCGCACATTGCGCGAGTACCTGCAAATGCATCAAGCGAAAATTGCGAAAGCAAACAAACACACGAACATTCCATTCACACCCAAATGCATTCGCACACGCATACTCGTACAAACAGACGGCATGATGTCGTGCAATGTAAATTTGCACCCAACACACTCCCCCTCAGCCTGCCGGCTGCATCCCCGTCATTCCATGCTAGTTCATGCTCATTCCACTCATGCGCACACAACGCCAATGAGGCTCATCCGCAAGCCTCTTGGTGAGAAAGTCTGCTGGCTGCTGGTGAGTCTTGATGTAGATTGGATTCACCGTCCCCCTCTTCACCTCCTTACGCAGCCAATGCCACTTGATACGCATGTGCTTGTTCAGGCCATGAAGCACAGCGTTCCTGGCCATCCCAAGAGCCCCCTTGCTATCACAAAACAGCGGCGTAGCAACTTTTTGCTCCTGGCCAATCTCCTCTAACAGCCTCCTCAGCCAAATTACCTCCTTCACCCCATGGAACATCGCCATGTACTCTGATTCTACGGAAGAGAGTGCCGTCTCCGTCTGCTTCTTGGACCTCCAACTAACAGGTCCTCCCCCAACTACGCAGATGTATCCTCCCACAGATGAGGAATCCTCCTTTTCAGAAGCCCATGTAGCATCGGTAAAGCAAGTGAGAAATAGCTTGCCTTCTCCAAGCCTCTCCCCCTTCTCTTTCAGCACCTCCACCCCTTTCTGCTTCACCTGTGCAGATGCGGAGTATTGAACTCCAATGCTTGGGTGAGAGTTCAGGTACTTCACCACACGCTCAGCTGCATCCACCTGCTCCTCTGATGGATTCTGCACCACCCTGGCCAGCTGCCCAACCGAGAAAGAGATGTCGGGCCTCGTGTGAACTGCTGCGTACAAGAGGCTGCCCACCAAGGACTGAAATTGCTGCTGCTCTTCAGCTTCAACCCCTTCATCCTCTGCAGCCTTCACAAGCTTGAATTCTGCTGGCAGGGGAGTTGCAACCTTGCGCTCATTCTCAATCCCATACTTCTCCCCCAGCTCCTTGATGAACTTCTCCTGGTGCAGCTTCAACCACCTGTGATCTGGATCCCTCTCCACGTGCATCCCGAGGTAGTACTTTACCTCCCCAAGGTTCTTGCACTTGAAGTTTTCCATCAGTTGCTGCTGCACTTTCTGGATCTCCTTCATGCTGCTGTTGAAGAGAAGAATGTCGTCCACATAGACCAGAAACAGCACCAGCTTCTCCCCCTCGCCCTTGAGAAGAGGCTCTCATCACAGTTGCTGGTCCTGAATCCATCTCCTCTAAAACAGCTGCCAACTTCTGGTACCAGCAGCGTGGCGCCTGCTTCAAGCCGTAGATGGACTTGTTGAGCTTGCACACCCTGCCCGTACCATCCTCATACCCAGGCGGCTGCGTCATGTACACATCCTCCTCTAAAATCCCATTCAGGAATGCCGTTGAAATATCCATCTGAATGATGAATTTCCCACTAACAGCTGCTCTCCAACAAGACACGGAGGGTAGGGGGTTTGGCAGTGGGAGCAAAGATCTCGTTGAAGTCCTGCTTCTCCTTCTGCATAAACCCCTTCGCCACCAGCCTACTCTTGTAGATGGTGACCTGCCCCTTGTCATCGGTCTTGATCCTCAGCACCCACTTGCATTGTATCGCTTTCTTCCCATCAGGCAGCACCACCAGATCCCATGTCCTATTCTCCAGCAGACTCTGGTACTCAGCATCCCTAGAAGCCAGCCACTTGTCCCTATCTGGTCCAGCTAATGCCTCCTCCATGCTAGCTGGTTCCTCTGGTGCAGGGGCAAGAAAACAGTACGCAGGCTCATCCTCCTCATCCGGGTCATAGCCATGAGGTAGAATCAGCAATGCCTCTTCGGTCCCTAGCTGCTGCTCTGCTGCATCAGTTCCTGCAGTCAGCTTCTTAGTAGCCATACGGGTACGTCCTGGCCTGGAGACGGGTGTCTCCCATCCCTTCATAACGACACCCTTCGGCTTCTTAGTTTTTTCCTGCTGCTTCTCTCCTCCCTCGGGTCCAGCAGCTCCACTAGTGCTGCCGCCAGTTTCCACACCATTTTCTCCACCAGCAGATGCCTCCTGTATCTTCTCTCCATCACCATTTCCAGCAGCTGCCTCCTCTCCCTCCTCCCACACACTAGGAGTCAGGTCCAGCTGCATGGTGATCTGCTCCATCTGCTGGGACACCCTTGCCTCCGGCTGTTTCTCCCAGCTCCCATACATCATGCCCTCAATGAATTTCACATCCCTGCTGTCAAACACCACCCTTGGATGGTTCCCACAGCAGCCATCCCTTGCTCTCAGCAGCCAGCCCCAAATGCACACACCAGATTGCACTCGCCCCCAACTTACTGCGGTAGGTCTTGGGGACGTGGGCGACTGCCATGCAACCGAACACCCTCAGCATGTCCACCGGCGGCTTCCTCCCAAGCCACCTCTCCAACGGCACCCACGAGTCATCCCCAACCTTGGTGAGCACCCTGTTCCTAGCGACAGTGGCGTGCCGGACAGCATGAGGCCACATAGAATTGCTCAGCCCAGATTCTATGAGCAGCGCCCTAGCTGTCTCCAGAATGGTCCGGTTTGCCCGTTCTGCTACACCATTGGACTGTGGGGTATAAGCCGTGGTCAGCTCTCTCTGGATGCCCTGCTTCTTGAGCCAGGCCGTCATTTCAGCTCCAAGGAACTCACCACCCCGGTCTGTCCTAATCCGCTTCACTACACACTCCGCCTGCTTCTCCACGAATGGCAGCCAATCGTCCCGTATCGTGGAGGCGGCGTGGTCCTTCTGCTTCAGCGGATACGCCCACATCAGCCTGCTCCAGTCATCCACAATTGTAAGAAAATACCGCTCCCCCTTGTGCCCTTGCACCGGCAGCGGCCCCACCAAGTCCATGTGGACCAGCTCCAAAGGCTTCTTGCTCCTGCCAGCCACACTATGGAAAGGGAAACGGGTGAACTTTGAAAGCAAACAGATTTCACAGTTGTCATCGGGTGGCTGTCCGTTCAGCTTCAGACCCTTAACGGCTCCATCCTTCTCCAGCTGCTTCAGCAAAGGCATTGCCACATGCCCTAAGCGCCGGTGTGCCGTTGCCCAATCTGTCTCCCCAGATCTGGCCGACACTTTCACACCAACCCCTCCAACGGCATTGCACTCCCCCTGGGATGCAGACCCTTCTCCAGCCTGCCCCCCACCATGCCACGCCAGGGCCGGCAGCTGCCACATAGATCTGTACACGTCCTTGCTCTCGTGCAGATCCCAAAGCACCCGATTGCCCAGCTTCCCCTTATAAGTGCGTGCCCCATCCGTGTTGGTGTTCACCCCAGCCTTGCCAAGCTTACGGAGGGAGATAAGGTTGGCCTTCAGGTCGGGGACGAAGAGAACGTCGTGCAGCACCACCGGCTTGCCATCCGCTCCCTTAAACGCAGCTCGTCCCGCACCAGCCACCTTCAACATGTGTCCAGAGGCGGAGCACACTTCATTGATCGGTGCAGCTCGTACTTCGTCCAGCAGGTCCTTGCGCGGCGTCATCGTCCAAGCAGCGCTTGTGTCCAACACCCAATAGTCTAGGGGGTGCAGCTCTGCTCCAACTTTGGCAGAGGCGTCTCCTTGCTCCCCCTTGTCTCCCACATGGAAGAATTGGCCCGCGGTGCGCTCCTTCTTCTTCTCCGCACCGCCGTTGCCCTTCGGGTTGTTGTCGGACGAATCAGCGACCATGTTGGCGCCGTTTTTCTGGTTCCTCCACGCGCCGCCATCCTGGTGACGATTCTGGGGGGTCCATCCATCGGGTTTCTTATAGCACAAAAACCAGGGGTGCCCTTCCTTCTCACAATACCAGCAACTCCCTTTCATTTTGCCACCAGCACCCGACTTGCCCCCACGTCCAGATTTCGCACCGCGACCCCAACCGGTACCTCCTTGTTGGTCGTTGGAGTCGTCGTCTTTCTTTGCACCGCGTCCAGCACCACCGAAGCCACGTCCTCTGCCACGTCGGCTCCCTTGCATCCCGTAGCCGCTGCTGCCGTCGTCTCCACCCCTCAGTTGGCGGCGACGGAAGTCCTCCTCCAGAATCTTCGTCCGCACCCACTCGAGCGTCCACAAGCTCTGGTTCTGCGGCAGGCTCAATCCGCTCGTAAATTGAAGCCACGATTCCGGCAGCAGCGAGAGCATCTTCAAGCACTTGGTCTGCTCCGGGTAGGTGATTCCCGCGGTCGCCAACTTCGCGTAGAGGTCGCGCATCTTGTCCAGAACTGGTTGCACCGGCTCTCCCTCGCTCAGGCGCAACGCGGACAGCTCCTTCTCCAGCATCAACGTTGCGACAACGGAGGTCGGGGCGTGCAGCTCCTTCAACACGGTCCACGCCTTCGGACCGCATTCAACCTCCGGCAGCAGGTGCATGACGTGGTAACGCTGGTTCAGCTCCAAACTCTGCGACATCAAATAGTAGCCAGCCGAGGAGCGCTCGTCCCAATCTTCCTGCAGCGTGGGGTCACTCGGTCTAGGCTCCTCCCCAATCATTAGTTTCAGCAAACCGATCTGACGGAAATATAATTGCATTTTATACCACAGGCCAATCATCATAGCCCTCACCATTGAACTTCTCGACGGTGAAATTCTTCAGCACCTCCTTGACAAGCGAGCCCTGGTTTGTTCGCACTCCCCTTGGCGCTGAAAGACCAGAATCTTGGCTGCCGCTACGATCTTGGGCTGAAGATTCACCAGCTCCCGCCGAGGTGTTGCCCGCCATAGCTACCTATACCGAGGATCACTATAACGCAGCTCTGATACCAGCTTGTTGGTGTAAGGGCCTAATAAACTCAAGCTATTAGGACTTAATCAAACTTAAAACCTCTCCTCGGGATCACCTCCAAGGGTCCCTGGGTGCCTGGTACAAGACCAGCCCCTATCCTCGGGTCCGAGTTTGTAGAGAGAGGGATCAAGAAGGACTTAGTCAAAACAGCAAGAGTACCTTGAACGTCGCGCAGCGTGCCGTGCAGACCGTCGGTCGGATTAAGCTGAGAATTCGCTATAACGAAGCTCGCTCCAAGAGCTTTAAAATGAACCAAGTTGCCTCGCGAAAAGTTCTGGCCATACTAAGTTATGGCTCGGACAGCGTTTGCCTAGCGTTGGAGTGCTAACATACTAGCGTTGACTCGGGTAGCATTCCGCCGTCGAACAGCGCAGAAACGAAATTCCAGCGAGGAAGGAATTCGCATGAATCAATTTGACTATATTCAGGTACAAACAGAGAAGGATGAAATAGTTCTAGCGAGCAAGGACCTTGGGAATCAACCTGGGAACAACCAGGGATGATCCCAAATAATTCCAAACAACAGAACCAACCTGGCTGGACAAATAGCAGGTGTTGGTTGGTAAACAACCTCTGGTTCTGTTTTTCCAACCTGGAAAAACAACAACCAGGTTCAGGTTCTAAAAACAGAACCCGTTTAGCCTGTTTTGTCTTTGCCAACCAGCCAAATGCTGTTCCGCTGGTTTCTCACTGGCCTTGTAGCATGCAGATACAGACAAACAACATCCAACCTTCACCTAAATTGTACCCTATATGCCTTCCCTGCTACACTATAGTTAACCAAACAAAACAGTACAATTTCGAGTTGGATAGAACTGAATCTGCGCAATCAACTCAACCGAACTGCAAAGCTTCCATCTTGGGTTCCTTTGCGAGCTCGTCCTTTCTGCTTGCAACGGTTCATAGCGCATACAATGTTGTGCCGAAGCGCACATTGCGCGAGTACCTGCCCAAATG